ACCTGAACTTTCATCACCAACTCCACCATAGCCATGTCCTCCCATACCTCTTCCATCTCTCATGCTGTTATCAAAGCCATCATTTCCATAGCCATAATCCCTGTGGCCACCCAAGTCATCAAAACCTCCATTATCACCATCATACCCATCATCTTCTCATCGAATTCTGTCATACATGCTTCCATGCCCAGCTCCATAATAATTTCCTCTTCCTCCTATTGGTCTATTGTATGGTCCTAGTTGCTGGCCCAGCATAAAGTCCTTTGGATCATAAAGTGGATCATAAAGCCCTTTGATTTCCTTCCTGCTACTTCTGAAGTTCTCAATACCCCTGTGCCTCACTCTTTCCTTGTGATGCCCCACTGCATTGTCTGCTCTCTCCTTTGAAGCAAAGGCACGAAGGCCTCCCTGAGCTCCTCCCGTGGTAGTCCATTGTCAGCGTTATCCCATTTGGCACGATTTCCAACCCTTGAAAGAACTATTTCCTCTTTGCCACAATCAGATGGCAGTCTACAAAGTTGTACTGTCCATCACTAGCGTCATTTGTGCCATTATGTTTCATAAGCCAATCCATCTCAATACTGTTTGATTTAAATGCCCCTTTTACTTCAAATGCCCTGTTGGGTCACAGTAGTGCACCCCGGTGCTCATGGGGTCTAGTTGTGAGGAGGGAGACGTTGCCCACCTCGTCTTCTGCTCCCACAGTGGTTCTTCCGACTGTCTCCAGCAGTGGCAACAGCCCCCTTGTCACTTTTATGAAGTATTCATGAACTTTAGGGTACGGTTATTGAATTGCTATCAAATTTCAACTAGAGGTTTTATTAATATTGTATTGAAGTTTAGACTAGTTTAGAGAGGAATGACATCGTCCTAGTAATTTTATTAAGATTTACAATTTTTACCCCAAGTATTACTTTAGGTGTATCCTAAAGCATTTGGTCTGTAATGATTTTATTGTTGGGCAACTCTGATTTTTAAAAAAGTTCTTTATTTCTGGGAAAATCTATTTAGTTTGTAGATTATTCAGTTTTGTTGAGATGTCCATTCTAGAATTAGAAGCTTCAGAACTTTTTGGAAGGTGGGAGTGAAGAACAGTTTTTAGATACATTTTTTTGGTTCCTTGCTCCAGTTATGAGTAGAGAACCTGGCTTTCTCTTTCTCTTATATGAAGCCCATGGCCTTGTTCATTATTGAAGATCTTGCCTTACATGTTTGCCTTGAGAGAGACTGAATCATCTAGGGAGCAAGGTGGAACTTTCAGTTCAGTTCAGTTCAGTTTAGTTGCTCAGTCATGTCTGACTCTTTGCGACCCCATGGACGGCAGCACGCCAGGCTTCCCTGTCCATCACCAACTCCTGGAGGTCACACAAACTCATGTCCAATGAGTTGGTGATGCCATCCAACCATCTCATCCTCTGTTGTCTCCTTCTCCTCCTGCCTTCAGTCTTTCTGAGCATCAGGGTCTTTTCAAATGAGTCAGCTTTTTGCATCAGGTGGCCAAAGTGTTGGAGTTTCAACTTCAACATCAGTCCTTCCAATGGATATTCAGGACTGATCTCCTTTAGGACTGGTTGGATCTCCTTGCAGTTCAACGGACTCTCGAGAGTCTTTCTCCAACACGACAGTTCAAAAGCATCAATCCTTCGTCCCTCAGCTTTCTTTACAGTCCAACTCTCACATCTATACATGACTACTGGAAAAACCATAGCCTTGACTAGACAGACCTTTGTTGGCAAAGTAATGTCTCTGCTTCTTAATATGCTGTCTAGGTTGGTCATAACTTTCCTTCCAAGNCATTACTTTACTGGCGTGTGAAATGAGTGCAATTGTGTGGTAGTTTGAGCATTCTTTGGCATTGCCTTTCTTTGAGATTGGAATGAAAACTGACCTTGTCCAGTCCTGTGGCCACTGCTCAGTTTTCCAAATTTGCTGGCATATTGAGTGCAGCACTTTCACAGCATCATCTTTTAGGATTTGAAATAGCTCAACTGGAATTCCATCACCTCCACTACCTTTGTTCGTAGTGATGCTTCCCAAAGCCCCCTTGACTTCACATTCTAGGAAGTCTGGCTCTAGGTGAGTGATCACACTATCGTGATTATTTGGGTCATGAAGATCTGTTTTGTACAGTTCTTCTGTGTATTCTTGCCACCTCTTTTTAATTTCTTCTCCTTCTGTTAGGTCCATACCATTTCTGTCCTTTATTGAGCCCATCTTTGCATGAAATGTTCCCTTGGTATCTCTAATTTTCTTGAAGAGATCTCTAGTCTTTCCCTTTCTATTATTTTCCTCTATTTCTTTGCACTGATCACTAGGGAAGGCTTTCTTATATCTCCTTGCTATTCTTTGGAACTCTGCATTCAAATGGGTATATCTTTCCTTTTATCCTTTATTTGACTCCACCAATTGCCATTGTTTTCCTCAAGTTCTTTAAATGTTTTTCAGGAAGTTAGGGTGGTGTAGGTGGATTAAGAGAACAGACAGAATAAATCTCTCAGTAGTTCTCTATTCCTGAATCATCAGTTCTCTGATAGTGAGGTTTGTTTGGCTTGTTTTTAAAGAATTTAGCCACGAGTGTGGAGTAGGTTGAGTCATAGACTTACCTGCGACTGCATTTACCCTCAATTTTGTTTTCTGTTCAGCAAAGGAGGACTTTGTTCTATTCAAGACTAATCTCTCCATCTGTACTTTTGAATATATCTCCCTTCCTTCTCCTAGATACACTTTCAGCAATTATTCAAACTCTTCTCTTTTTAAAAACCTCTCCTGGGTCTGTATTTGCCTTGGGCTTTTACAGTGCTGGAGAAACAATACATCTTCTTACGCATGTTTGCGTGCTAAGTTGCTTCAGTCATGTCCAATTCTGTCATGTCTGTGGACTGTAGCCCTCCAGGCAAGAATACTGGAGTGGCTTGTGGTACCCTTCTCCAGGGGATCTTTCCCACCCAGGGATCAAATTGTGTCTTTTAAGTCTTCTGCATTGGCAGGTGGATTCTTTACCACTAGGGCTACCTGCTGCTGCTGCGGCTAAGTCGCTTCAGTCGTGTCTGACTGTGCAACCCCATAGACGGCAGCCCACCAGGCTCCTCTGTCCCTGGGATTCTCCAGGCAAAGAATACTGGAGTGGGTTGCCATTTCCTTCTCCAATGCATGCGTGCGTGCTAAGTTGCTTCAGTCGTGTCCAACCCTTGCGACCCCATGGACAGCAGCCCAGCAGGCTCCTCTGGCCACGGGATTCTCTCGGTAAGAACACTGGAGTGGGTTGCCATTTCCTTCTCCAAGTGCCACCTGGGGAATGCCTTTACTGAAGAAATCAACTCGTTTCTCATTTCAACAACCACACCTGTATGTGATGACCCCCCCAGGGCCCTCCCCTGAGTCTCAGAACTGTCAGTCAGGCTGTTTACTGGACTGCACATGTCCCAGATGAACCCCCACACCTACTCTTTTTTTTGTTCCTCGAGTAGCATCACTCATGCCCTGTACCAGACCCCTGGCAGCCATCTGAGACACTTCCACCTACACAGCTCTTAACTCTCTCAACCTCATTCACAGACTTGATGCAGCTCCCAGTCATCTTGTTCTCCGAGCATTTCCGCGATTTGCCAACTTGGTCCCCAACTCTCCTCCTCACCCCTCCAAACTCCAAACCCCTCCACCCAACTGAAGCCAAAGTGATCCTGCTTAAACACAAACATAGCCGTATTTTTACTATGTGAAAAATTGTAGTGAGTGGGACAGTGTTAGTCACTCAGTCATGTCTGCCTCTTTGTGACCCCATCAATAGTAGCCTACCAGGCCTCTCTGTCCGTGGGATTCTCTAGGCAAGAATACTAGGGTGGGTTGTCATTTCCTCCTCCAGGGGATCTTCCCAACCCAATCAAACCCAATATGCACTGCAATCAGATCCTTACCTCCTGAGTCACCAGGGAAACCCAAAAACTGTGTAGAGAGAGGCTCCTGAAATCTTTCATAAGATGAGCATCTAGACTATGGAGTCTGGTAGACTTCTGTAATCTGGCCCTTCCCACTTTTCCAGCCGAAAAAACAGAACTGCTGTTTCCCAGCCTTTCTCTGAGCAAACTCCAGGAGATGGTGAAGGACAGGAAAGCCTGGTGTGCTGCAGTTCATGGCTTTCCCAGGTTCTAGGCCTGTACTTGCTTCACTGCTTCAGCTGAGAATATATTCCCGTCAGCTTGGCATGCTCTGATATCTAAGACAGCACTCAAGCATCATTTCTTCCATGAATCCTTTCCTCACCTTTCATACTTCTTACCCACACACATTTTGCTGAAATTTTTATGATGCTTATACAGACCAATCTGAGCAATACATTTAGTATTTCTAATATTGCATGTGTTTATTTCCCTCCGGTAGACTTAACAAGCCCCTCAAAGCTGAGACCAGGTTGATTTGGATTTTGTGTCTCTACTGCCTGGCACAGTACTTGACACAGAGTTTAAGAAATGTGTTTAGGGCTCACTGAATGAATAAGTGAACTAGTAGAGCCTAGAAGATTGTGTGAAGCTCAGCAATTTCACCCAAAGTTTTATAGCATGGCCTTGCTTAGTAGAACTCTGAATTCTCTCTCCGACTAGGGTTGTCAGATGAAATATAGGATGAACTATTTTGGACAAACTTAAACTAAAAAATTATTCTTTATTTATCTGGACATTCAAATTTAACTGAGCATCTGGTATTTTATTTGTTAAATCTGGGAACCCTACTGCCAAAGCTGTTTTGACTTTAAATCCCATATTAAATTGGACACACTGGTAGGTGAGCCTCAGAATATTTGTTATGCTTAGTTCAGTGAATACTTATTGAGTTCTCCTTCCACTGTGAATACAGAAAAGTTTGAATCAAGGAAACAGACCTCAGCTGAGTAGCCAGAAATGTGATTACTATGTTGATGCCAACTGTGGACGTTGAAAGAACAGACTTCCTGAGCTCGCTTTGTTCAGTATTGATTTTCTCTGATGGGTTTTCTTCCCCTTTAGCTTGTGATCAATCCTGTGAGAGCTGTGGCCCCAGTAGCCCCAGATGTCTTACCTGTGTGGAGAAGACTGTGTTGCATGATGGGAAATGCATTTCTGAATGCCCTGGTGGGTACTATGCTGATGCCACTGGGAGATGTAAAGGTAAGTTACAGGGGTAACAGTTATCATTGTCCTCCTCATCATCAAAAAAGTAATTAGCACATGTTTGATTACACTCAGTGCTGTATGCTGCTCACTTAGAAGTTTGTGTGCGTGGTAAGTAAATGGCAAGTTAAAAGGAAAATGTATCTGGTATGAGAGTGGGAAATATGGGTGGATGCTGGGGTACTAATGTGATTAAAGAAGGGGCTTACACATACCAATCATCATTAGAGATCACGGGATCATTTTGAAATGCCAAGAAAACCTCTGAAATCTTCACACAGTCCTTGTGTACTTGTCAACCATTACTCACTCAGGTTGTAGGTAGGAGAGAACCATTCTTTAGATGGCATTTGTAAACACATATATTGGCAACTACAGCACACCAGGAAAATAAAAAAGCAAACCAAGTTTGATAGCTTGTAAAGCTAAAGTGTGTATTTATTGAAAATTTGGTTTTATGTGCTATTTATATAGTATTTTTTTTTCAGACTTATACATCTTAAACCAGGAAACATTCCCGTTTGAGATGGGAACTTACTACTGCCTCAGACACCCTGATTGCCCTTCTTCTCTGAAACAATGTGCATATTCTTCCTTCCACTGCTAGTGTCTGTTTGGGCAGGACATTTAGACCTGTCCTACTGCCTTGTCTCATCAACCTCCCGTTTGTTTGTTAGCCTCTTTACTCATCCACTCTTTATCTCTTGTCCTCAGTATTCTGTCCCCAGCGATCTCCTCCTGTCTCCTCCACACTCCCCTCTTCCAGCTCCTGACCGTGGCCCTCTAGAACCTTCTTCCAGGGTTCAGTCCTATTCCTTAGAACAGCATGGTGCCAGCTGCCTCTTGGAGCCAGAGTGTTCCATTGCTACTAGCCAGGACCAAAGCAGAGGAGAGGCATGCCTGACACTACCATGTATAGTGGTCAAGTCCTTTTACATAATTATTACTTAGACTCCCAACCTCTCACCATGCATATGTCAAGGAAACTAGGCCTGGAGACACCCAGTCTTGGCTAAGGACGTAAGCTAGGGGACAGGCCCTTCAAAAATACCAGGGGTCCCAACACCCAGATCCATGAACTTTCTCCTCTTCCCTATTCACCTGGGGAGTCTTAGATTCAGATAGACCTAGGGCTAAATTCCAGCTCTGCTACTAACTAGCTTTGTGATCTTGGGTAAATTTTTTAACTTTCCATGACCTTGATTTTCTCATCTGTAAAATGAGGTTAATACTACCTACTGCATTAACATTGCTATGAAGATTAGAAGTGGCAATATATATAAAACACAATACAAAGACTAAATAAAGGATTTGTGTTGAGTTACTCAGTCGTGGCAACTCTTTGCAACTTTGTAGCCTGCCAGGCTCCTCTGTCCATGGAGTTTTTCAGGCAAGAATCCTGGAGTGGGTTGCTACTTCCTCTTCCAGGGGATCTTCCTGACCCAGGGATTGAACCCAGGTCTCTTGCATCCCCTGCATTGCATCCCCTTAACCCCTATGCCACCTGGGAAGCCCAAATAAAGGGTAGCTAATAAATAATAGAACGTGGATGAAAGATGGGCAAAGTTGCAGTGTGAGCAGTGCCGGTAACATAAACATCTCCGAACACATATGCCCCTTGATTTGGTGCAACATGTGAGGGGGATTGAGGATAGAAAAGAGGGCTTCTTAGCACATGAAGAGATCCAACCAGTCCATCCTAAAGGAAATCAGTTCTGAATTTTCATTGGAAGGACTGATGTTGAAGTGAAACTCCAATACTTTGGCCACCTGATGCAAAGAACTGACTCATTTGAAAAAGACCTTGATGCTGGGAAAGATTGAAGGTGGGAGGAGAAGGGGACAACAGAGGATGAGATGGTTGGGTGGCATCACTGACTCAATGGACATGGGTTTGTGTCAACTTTGGGAGTTGGTGATGGACAGGGAGGCCTGGCATGCTGCAGTCCGTGGGGTCGCGAAGAGTTGGACACAACTGAAAGACTGAACTGAACTAGCACATGAGGGGCCCAGCCAAGAAGTGGGCGCTCTAGTTACCTCAGTCCCACTGTGTTCCTTTCTTCCGCAGTTTGTCACAACTCATGTGCCAGCTGCTCAGGACCTGCGGCCTCTCACTGCACCACCTGCGTCCACCCCCAGGCCCTGCGCCAAGGCCACTGTCTGCCCAACTGTGGAGAGGGCTTCTACCCCGACCATGGTGTCTGCAAAGGTATTGTTGGTGTCATCATCACCATTTATTTATTTACTTGCTATGCTGGGACTTTGTTGCGGCATTCAGGCTTCTCGAGTTGAGCTTGCAGGCTCAGCAGTTGTGGCAAATGGACCTAGTTGCCCCAGGGCGTATGGAATCTTAGTTCCAGGACCAGGGATTTAACTCCCATCCTCTGCATTGGAAAGTGGATTTTTAACCCCTGGATTACCAGAGAAGTCCCTTATCATCATTCCTGATAGACTTTCCCATCACAAGGACATAGAGATAAGTTATTTTGTGGGGCAGCTCTTCCTCTAGTGTATCCCATGTGGTTATACCTGAATTATAAGTGGTTTTTTTTTCGTTATCAAAGGGAGAATCTGAAAAATCACATTTGAATATTTGTTGTAACACTGAATGGGCCACCATCTTTCTGGCCATCCTTTAGGGGAGTGTCATTCCCTTTCCTGTGCATTAAAATGAACCCAGCTCTTCTTTTCTCTCTTTTCGATCCTCTGAGCATTACTAATGTTTTTCTTATTCTTTATTTTGTTTTTCCCTGAAGAACTTTTTGTTAATGATACTGCTAAGAAAACTGAGACTTACCAGCAATGCCTCTGGGCTGAGTAAAGTGGAAAATCTTCCATAGCTATTTGCCGAAAAGGCTCTCGGCTCATAGGGAGGGCAATCTCCTTTGAGTCTTTTGAAACTGGAACATTGGCAGCAAACATTTTAATTAAGCGAACTTAATTTGTTTATTTATACATAGGGCACCTTGGAAAAGTTGTGAAGGATAGTTACAAGGGGAAGAAAAACGTATTTAAAACAGGGCAGCTGCTCTAAATACACCGAAAAAGACAATTTAGAGAATCTTTGAAAAGACGGGAGCAACCATTATATCAGACTGTGGGCAGGAGAAATTTTGAGCACTCTGGCTCTGATTTTCACCAGCAGTCAAGGAAAACAAGAAACCGTGATGGATTGTCAAGTACTTGGTGCTGCTCTAAAGGGGCCTCTTCCTGGTCTAGAAAAGCAGCCTTTCCTCACATAAATTCTAACAGAAATTTGTTGCCTGGACCCCTCTGTAGTGGGTGATGGATGCTGTAATGGACAGTGACACAACTACCATTTTTTGCACATAACAGACTAACAGCCTTTATAGGAATGCTTCTTAAAATCTTCCATTAAAAGCTGAGATTATAACATTATATCGTCATCCACTGTATGTGACTCTCTGGAGAAACAAGCCAAGATTGTCCAGTTTGCTTTTTTCTTCCCTCCATGATCTAGCCTGGCAGCTCTTCCAGGACCTGAGAGACGTGGCTAGTTAGCATCACCCTCATTTGGCCTCTCACAGATATTGTTATTATCCCTCCGGGCTTTGTGGAGAATGCTGGAAACACAGTTATCTGCAAGGTTGTATCTGGTGAACTTTTCTGAGCGAATCAGACTTCCTTAGGGACGCCCCTTGGTTGCAGTGCTTAGCTGACCCTTGGGTTGATTCCTGCATTTTGTTCCTCTCGGCAGCCTGTCATTCCTCTTGCCTGACGTGTGTGGGTCCAGCGCATTCCCACTGCACCCAGTGTAGGAAGCCAGAGGACGGACTGCAGTTTCAGCCGATGTCGGGTGCAAACATCACCTCGGGCGAGTGTCTGTCCCCTTGCAGAGCCCAGTTTTACTTGGAGAACACTGGACTGTGTGAAGGTGAGTAAGCCTGATGGGAGGAAATATTTAGGTAGCTTCCAGGCTTACCTCTTGAGGGGTTCTGTGAGGTGGGACCCAAGCCAAAAGTTCTTTGTTTTCCCGCCGCAATAGTTTCTGAGTGTTTCCGGGTGGAAGACCGACATGTAAGAGAATGACCCCGCTGACATCCCCCTTCCTTTGGTGAATAACAGGTGATCTTAAAGAGTTAGTTCCTTTTACTCCACTATCCCCAGAGTCACACTCTCAGAAATTCCAGGTGGGGATTCTTTCAGAGACAATATGAGTAGCTGAAACAGACATGGAGCACATTGTAGAATTCTATTTGTTTTAATTTGCTACTCTGCATATAAATTGATCTCTTCAGGACAAAATCTGGACTTCTGTCAAAATTTAGAAGTGAGTCCTGCCCTTGCTTTGGTGTAGTGCCTACAGAGAATTGATGCCATTCTGACTGCTGTGACTCAGAGCTGGGTCATCTATAAGTGGTTGAAGATGAGATGAAGGGGTGCATGCATTGTTCAGTTGTGTCTGATGCTTTGTTTCCCCATGAATCGTAGCCCACGAGACTCGCGTGTCCATGGGATTTCCCAGACAAGAATACTCGACTGGATAGTCATTCTTTTTTTCCAGAGAATCTTCCCAACCAAGGGATTGAATCCAGGTATCCTACATTGCAGGTGGATTTTTTACCATTTGAGCCACCAGGGAAGCCCCGATTTCTTAGGAGGTAGGGGAGGCCCCTCCCTGCTCCTCTAAGAACCTTCCTTGCTATTGGATGAATTTTTTGACTCTTGGGCACTTGGGGAAAAATCCACGACTTACATCTTTCATTATGAACATATGTTCATTAAGGGGGGTTTTGAATTCAGAAAAAAATAGAAAAATAATCTCTCCACCATCTACCTGCCTAAACCCAATTGCCTTTCATTTTGCTATAATATGTCTGAGTCTTTTTTTTTTTCCCCTGTGCATAGCATTGAATTTTTATTTTTGTACCATAATTGTAAGCATACTGTAGATTCAGTGGTGTATTTGACAAGCCCACTTATTAAAATGGCTTCACTCTTACACTGGAATATGTACTCACATAGAAACGCTGGATTTCAAGGTTAGGTTAAAAGGCTTTGGACATGGTGAGTGATGTGGCATAGTAGAAAGTATGTGGAATTGGAATACAGAGACCCCAGGGCAGATACTTAAGCTGTCAGAGCCTTCGCATCTGCAGTATTAGAATAGGGATAATTGATTTGCACACATGCTTTTTGCCAGGATCAAAGGAGGTGCAGAGCGTGAAAGTGCTTGGTAACTTGTAAAGCCCTCGTGATCACTTGTTATAAATCTCAGTCCATGTGCTCAGGAATTCGGGGACGTTATAAGGGTCACCCCCTGATCCCTGGGATGCACCAGCTACAGCGTGTTTACATGGTGTCTAAAATTGGAGGAGGGCCTCTACTCCCTAAAACACTGGTTTCCACCCATTTATGCGTTGTGCAAGCTTCCCATGGTCCCTTAAACTCTCACAACTCTGTTTCCACAACCACTTACAAAATATGGGTATCTTTGCTGCTAAGAGCTCCAAAGCCTCTCTTTCTGTTTTGCAAATAAGATCATTTATATCATTTTTCTAGATTCAGCATACAGACACCAAGAGGTAAAGACTGGAGTGGGATGAATGGGGAGATTGCGCTTGACATGCATATACTGTTGCTACTCTGTTTAAAATAGAAACGTGATGAGAGCCTACTGTGTAGCTCACGGAACGCAATGCATGCTCTATGGGGAAATGAATGGGAAGGAAATACAAAAAGAAGGGACATATGTATATGTACAGCTGATTTACTTTGCTATGCTATAGAAACCATCAGAACATTCTAAAGCAACTATTTTATTATTGTTGTTTAGCCGCTAAGTTGTGTCTGACTTTTTGCGACCCTGTGGACTGTAGCCTGCCAGTTTCCTCTGTCTATGGGGCTTCCCAGGCAAGAATACTGGAGTGGGTTGCCATTTCCTTCTCCAGGAGATCTTCCCAGACCAGGGATCGAGTCCATAGCTCTTGCATTGGCAAGTAAGTAAAGTAAATAAAGAAGAAACTGGCCTAGGCTGTTCACCATGATTAGTCTCTTTCTACGATTTTGATCACTTCATTGAAAAAGAAAATTAGGGAATTTAGAGAGGGATCAGAAGAGATAAACAAAAATGATGACCATTTTAAAAGATAAATTGTCAATAAAAATGAGAGTAACCAGGGCTTCTCAGATGACACCGTGGTAAAGAATCTGCCTGCCAATGCAGGAGACACATGAGGTGCAGGTTCGATCACTAGGTCTGGTCTGGAAGATCCCCTGGAGGAGGAAATGGCAACCTACTCCAGTATTCTTTCCTGGAAAATCCCATGGACAGAGGAGCCTGGCTGGCTACAGTCCATGGAATCATGAAGAGCACAGTACACGATGGAGCACAAATGCAGGCAACCAGGGTTATTCAGCCCGAAAATAATATTCCTGTTAATTTGGTGCACAACTTTGATGCAGACACTGTAAGAAGCACCTTACTTGTTCTATTTTTTCGCTTGGTCCTGATACCAGCCTTTTGGGGTGAGTGGGACAACTACTTTAGAGGAGAAATAGGCAGGAGGAAATTAAGGCTGTAACTTGCTCAATAGCAGGTAGCCAGCGCCAAGTAGAGCCCAGTGGGAACCTGAGTCAGCCAGACTCCAGTATCTATGCTATTCACCAAGAAGCCGTTCTAATATGGTCCCTGAAGGGGAAAAGGCACAGAATTACAGTATTGCAGGGTTGAGACAACCTCAGATTAAGAAAGCATCCTTGACCGAGGGGCATGTTCTTGGAATCCCTTTATACAGACACCTTTTACAAAGGATTAGAATCTAATCCCTCTGGAATGGTTTAATTGTGGTCCCATGTGAAAGGGCTGGATTGACCTCTAGAGGCCCGGGTAGCCTTGTGACTTTATGCTAATTCACACAGTACTATGAGATATCACACATAGAGCTCTCTACTCACATTTATTATGAAATTCTGAGGCCTCTCTGCTCAAGGTAGATTGTTGTGCTCAATATATTAGTGATGCTGATGCGGGAGAAAGAGGTTAATTGAGTTGCCCAAGATTCCACTGGGAGTCTGATTGCAGCCACCAATTGTTTCCAAGCTCACTTGAGTATAAGTGTGTTGATTGATGTGTTTCCTGTCACTCATCCGGTATCTCTGGCAACCTTTCCTCCTTCCCACAATCTGTTCCTTTTTCGATTCTGCTGAAGCCTTGTCTCTGAACTCGGGCCTGGGAGCCCTGTGAGATTGCTTTGGGTGCTCCTTCTCACACACCCACAATACACCCTCTCCTCTGTAAGGAACGTTTTAATAGGTTGGAGCTCTTGAGTGTGTGCCATTGAGAGTTGATTTTACAGACCTTTTCATCTCAAGTGCTTTGCTGTAAAGAAGCAGAAAGCAACTGCTTTCTGGAACTCTCCCTCTGCCTTTCTCTGAGACTGCAGCATAGAGTGATTAGAATATTACTGCAGTTAATGAAAGCGAGAGGCAGATGCATTAGAGGGAGAAGCAATTTACTTAGAGCCCGAATATTGTCAGGAGTTGTTATAAAATTTTCTGCTCTGAGCTACCTGACAAACCCAGGAATTATCTATTGGAGGATGAGACAGATTTACTCAGGATATTTGACTAAGATCCAAGTCTGTGATAGAAGGATGAAAAACATAATTAACAAGGAGTGACTAAAGAGAAAAATTTTTTTATTAACTGGAGGACAGTCTGTTTTTTACATTGGGAAAGACCCTGATGTCGGGAAAGATTGAAGGCAGGAAGAGAAGGGGACAACAGAGGATGAGTTGGTGATGGACAGGGAAGCCTGGTGTGCTGCAGTCCATGGGGTTGCAAAGAGTCAGACACGACTAAGCAACTGAACTGAACTGAGTCCGTTTTTATTCATTCATTCTACAAATGTTTTTTGAGTGTTCCCTGGCTGCCAGGTATTATCTAAGCACTTGGGGTGCTCTCGTCAATGAGTCAGATGAAATTCCTGCTCTCACGGAATTTATATTGAGAGAAACAGAAAATAAAAAATAAATAGCAGCAGCAGCAATGAAGTCCACAGTATACCCTTGTACTATGAAACCTACAGCAAGGTATGGGGAAGACAGAGCGGGTGCTCTGAGATAGACTTCAAAACAGACGCACTTTGGTGAGATGAGGATGGAGACCTGAATATATTTGTCCTGCATTTTTGGCTCACAGAAACAAACTTGGGTACTTTACCAGATAGATCTTTGACTTTACACTTCTTTCACACACAGCCTCCATGTTTTCAGTGTGGCTGGAATTTCTGGTTCAAAATAAAATCTGTTACCAATTTTTGAAGATAGTTTGGAGGCATTTTTTAGTAGTCCACCAAAATTTTACATGTCTATTAAATATAAAGGACTTCCCATGTGGCACTAGTGGTAAAGAATCTGCCTGCCAGTGCAGGAGACATGAGATGCAGATTCTATTCCTGAGTCCTGAAGATCCCCTGGAGAGGGATATGGCAACCCACTCTAGTATTCTTGCCTGGAAAATCCCATGGACAGAGGAGCCTGGTGGGCTACAGTCTGTGGGATTGCACAGAGTCAGACGTGACTGAGTGACTGAGCCCAGTTAAATATTAATTGAGTATTAGGTACAGAAAGGGTTTTATTGATTTTATCCACAGTTCATCTCACCTGTTTAACTGATTGTTCCCTAGCATTGACGGATTCTAGTTTCTAAAACAAGCAAAAACTCCAAGAAACACCTGTCAGCACCTTTGTACAAATAAAACAACTTCATAAAACCCCAACCTTCTAAAACAAAATCAAAAGCCCATCCCTTACTTTTTCGTTCATCTTTCTCACTAACTTTCCATACCTCTGGGAGCTCTTCTGAGTCTAGATGAGTTCTTGAGAGTAAAGCTGGGTAGGGACCACCCTGTTCCCCAACTCCAGGGGTACC